TGCTACAATGTAGTTCAATCGTTGTGAGTGTATTTTTCTTCTTCTTCTCGTCCTTTACATACGGACTCTCAAGCCATCTCTTTCCGCGTCTATATTTAATTATTACCCACTTTTAGTTCTAACTACCTTTACCTCAGGTATACGCCTAATACACTAATCTCTCTTGGGCGTTTCACGTTTATTATTACTTTGGCGTACTATATTAGAATGGAAAAACATGTTTCCGAAATTGCATTATTTCGTTTGGCCGTGGTCAGGTTGGGGACGGCACAAACGTCGAAGAGGTCGGTAGTGGCATACGAATATCAAGACCGAAGAACCGAAACGGCGCGGTGGTTGAGGATGGGACGGCGGTTTCTCTTGGAACCGCCGCTGCCACTGTATAATTTATCTATTACAATGATAGGGGCGCGGGGTAAAAGAAACGGCAAATTATGGTTTGTCGCGTTTGCCGGGCGTGCCTTTTGGCTCGATACGTCCAAAGTCGTAAATTAAACCCGTTTTATTGCCGTGCCCCGGTGCGGCGGCGCTAAACCCCCGGCTGGAAGAAGCGCGGATGATAAGATAAGAAGATGGTGGGCCTGAGAAATATTCAAAAAAAGCGCACGGCACGCGCGATAAAACCACCGGCGTACGCTGTGCGTGCGCCGGCCAACGACACTCGTCCGTATACTACACAATAGTATACACCTACTGCTATTATAATAATGTATTATTATTTCGTTAAGACGTCCGTGGTCCGCATACCTCCATATATCTCAGCCCTATCGATTCGCTGAAAAGGAGAGAGAGAGAAGAAAAAATAGCCCGAAATAGTGTATCGTTTCGCGCGATCGGCGAACACCGATAACGTGTTCAGGCTTTTTCTTGCGGTTAACTATTTGGTTTTGTAACACACGCAAACAATACAAAAACAGCGCTGCCAGTGCAAACAACAACACAACGGCTCCGACAAGTCGAGACGTTCGCCGGCGATTGCACGCCAACGGCTTAAGCAGACGGTACGGCATTCGCATGTGTGTGCCATATTAAAATCGCTTGTTTCGACTCAGTCTAATAGTCTGCCAGCCGTGCTATGTACACCCTACACCGTCGTATGCCGTGTGTTTCTGCAAAACATTTTTGGGGGTGACTACCGGCAGGGTGTCCCACGAGAATTTGATTGTTTCAAATTCTATTTTTATTTTCTCTTGGATTTATTATCGTACAGCCTGCGGATAATAACTATTTCAAAAAATTAGTTTCGAAAATACGTACCGTTTGAATTTAGTTTTTGGTCGAAATGATTATGTTGACAAAAAAAAAAACCAAAAATTTGAGTGGAATAATTGTTTTTTTTACTGAGTTACAGGCACGCCGTAATTTTATGATAACTTTTGGGGTGTTTTTTTTTTTTATTTTAAAGTGAAAAGAACTTTTAAATGTACTTTTTAGGTACAATTTCTTATCTATAGACTTGCTACATCGGTTCAACGATTCAGAATATACACTGTACCTATAATGACCAAGCCAGTCGACCGAGTTTGATTTTTTTTAAAACGGTCTCCTTAAACAGTGGCGAATCTAGGATTTATATCCTGGAGGCCCTGGGGTTAAACTACTGTTATAGCGGTTTCCCTCGCGGACAAACGTTTTATTTACTTACAAAAAAAAAGGAAAATCCGAGATGTGTTTTAAACCTTTTAACGTTTCCGCTTGCTGTACCGCCGGCTAAGAACTTTATGTGAGCGCCACAACAGAAACTGTCTGGGAGAGGACTAGTTAATTTTTTTGTTATTTTTTCCTGAACAGCAAAACACGTTGTGGAATGTTTCCTTAGCCGTGTCTAAATCTCCTGATATACATTCAGTTGTTGTCAGATAACACAAAAACAACACCATGCACACAATAGAATTAAGTCTTGGTAGGATAAATTCCGAGGAAAACAGGATTTACAAAAGAAGACTACCAGCACTACAGTAGTAAAAGAAAAATAAGAAATATAGCGACAAAACAAATATACTCTTTTTTAAAGTTTAATATTTTTTTCATTTTTTATTTTTTTATAGTTGACGATCAATAACAACAATGTATTTTTACCGACGTCGCAATAATAATAATAATAATAATAAAATCTTAAAATTTACAAAGTTTAAGCCAGGAAAAATATTAAACGAATAATAATAATATTATTATGCTATGTATGATGTATAATACATGTACATAGATAATATATTTCATCGGATGTAAGACAATAACATTATTCGCCAATCAATAGTTCAAAAATAAAAATTAAACGATATAATACATTTTTTTGTTTTTTTTTTTAATTTTACAATATATATATTATCATTATATAGTTCCAAACGGGGTTTTCTTAACACACTAATAATACTTTCATTTTGTACAAATTTAGGGTTGAAAGGAAAGAATAAAAAAAAAAAACAAAAAGTATTATTATTGAAACGTATAACAATGGAATAACTCTGAATTTACTTACACAATTATAATTACAACACATTTTTATGTCCCTTCGCGGTCTTATTGCAATTGACGAGATATACTTGTTTATTGGGACAATATACGTTAGACATTGTTAAGTTTTTGTTCTTACATTCAATTTTAGGTCTATTCAACTCTGATGGTCGTTAACAGTTCAAACAAAGAGTACGACGGTTTGATTTTTTCTACATTAAAATAATTCATTTTTTTTTTAAGCAGACAGCGGTCATAATAGTGTCTAGCGAATTGAATTATACAAGTATAATTGAATTTCGGTATTCTCTAGATTGAAAACGTTTTTTTTTTCAAAGTAATTAAAAGTAATAAAAATTTATTTTATTGAAAACAATTTTTTTTTTATAATCGGGGACAGTATATTGTAAGGTTTTCCTTAAACATATTCATATACATTTTTTTAACAAAACAAAATATATTATGTCATTAAACTAAATGATATTTAGTACTATTCATTATTCTAATGTAGCAGTAAAACACACAATATTCTAATAACAATAACGAAAAATAATAAATAAATAGAAACACAATAATATGGTTTTAGTGTTTATATTATATGTGGGCAACAAATAAATAAGCCCTATGGTGCAAAATCTATAGGCATGATAAACAATAATAATAATAATAATAATGATAATAATAATAAATATAATAATAGATAATAATAATAGTAAAAAATAATGGTAGATAATTTCAATTTTTAAATCCGCATAACAATAAATAATATTTTTTTTTCTCAAAGATATTTATAATATCAGGCTATCCTAATAATAAATAATAATATACGATCATCAAACGAATACAATTAAATAAGGAATAAATATATTGGATTTGCAACAAAAAGTAAAATAAAATAAATAAATAAAATTTAAAAAATATAAAATACCTAATAATATGTATAAGTAGATTACATTCATAAAAAAAAAACAAACAACAACGTTACGCATTATGCTTCGTTATATTATTATTTTTATTTTTTTTTATTTTACTGGCCCCATTTCGTACTGTAAAAAAGTAGGTACAAAGTTTATTAAAGTCGAATTAACATTATGGACATTTACCTTAAACATTTTTTATTTTTTTTGTTTTTTTATCCAATTCCGTGTACACTTGAAACTCCGAATAGTAAGGCATGCGTAAGCGTAATCAGATTTTATCATATATTATAGGGTCGATATTATTGAGGTTTATCGTTGGCAGTGGCTTTGCTTAATAGTCACGAATAATAATTGAGGTTGTTCGAAAGTATAAGTATAGTTTTGTTGGATAGCCAAAAACAAGACAAGATGCGCATAGTATAGGTAATAATTATAAGTATAATTCTGTAACGAAGAAAGAAAAACCCCCACAGAAATCAATTTTAACGACAATAAAAAATTTACACTTAAAAATGTTTTTTTTTTTATATTCATTAAAACAAAGTTAGTTTTAGGAATATTCTAAGTTCAAAAGAAGTGGAAAAAATGGTAAGCTAAAAACACACGCTGTCGACACAAGGTCGCAAGCTAACAGCGGGCGGGCGAACACAACATATAATTTTTATTTATCGGTTCTAAAAAATCAGTTCTATCAATGTATCAAATTAATTATAATATTTCGTCTAATACAATAATGAATTAAAACTATATTTATTTATTTATTACAAATTATCATAATAACATTTAATTATTTACACAAACTACTACATAGTATAAGCTATACAAAAAAAAGTATAGTATGTGAACCCATACAAAGTAATGTTTTAAAATCCCATCCCGCGATAATTATTTAAATGTATAATTTTTTTCTTATTATTCCAAACAATTTACTTAATTAGTTTATCATTTTATAAATTAACCATAGAATAATAATAATGAAAAACGTGTACACACACACACCCGGAAATATGTATTTTGTTTCAATATAATTTAAATAATCAAATAAACAACATTGGTTAACGATTTTTGATCATACGGCTCCGGAGTCGCTAATAACATTGACTTACAGCTAAACATACTTTATACAATATTTTTTATCGCGAGATAATAATACATATATATATATATATTTTATCGATAAGCAACTGCTGCAATCATCATATTATTTATGTTGTATACATTTATTATTATTATTATTATTATTATAATATTTACGCATCCGAAACACGATATAGTAAAAATGTAAAATGTTCGATAATTATATTTATATATGTACGTTTCCTTAAATGCAATATGTAATGCAACGTAATTACTTTGGTATTGTATGTATATATAATATATGCAACGTAATAGTATAATAAAATGAAAATATACACACACATCATATAAATTGTACGCGCGACGCGCTCGCGTTACTGGTAACGAAATAATATATAAACTCAATATACACACGTTATATAATATGTATATACATAATATTAGAAATAAGTTTAGTAATAATAATTTTATTTATTAGTTACAGTACGCGTTAAGCGTGTTTTATAATAATAATTAACACCCCGTTTTTCTTTGGGTGTAGATTTTTGCGGGGGGGGGGGGGGGTTTGGGCCGTGATTTTTTTTACAAAACCACAGCGGTGTACGTTTAAATGCGGCCGGGCAGTCATTACTCGACTGTTATTATTTTGCGCATCTCGGTTTAGTAAGTTTACCACACTACATAACATACACGGTGTATCCGACGATGCCGGAGTTAGTCGATCGTGTTCGGACGTGTCTCGTGTGCCTCGTGAACGTGTAGAGTGTATAGCAGCTGGGCGGGGCGGGGGGGGGGGGGGTGCGTGTGTGTGTGTGTGTGTGCGGTGTATGCGTGGGCGCTTGTTTAAGTGAAGTGCCGTTTCTTGTGCAGCGCCAAATGGTCGGACCTGGAGAAGCATCGCTCGCAGTGGCGGCACTTGAATGGTTTGGCGCCAGTGTGTTTGCGATAATGGCGGGTCAGCTCGTCCGACCGGGCAAAGCTCCAGCCGCAACCGATCCATTCGCATTTATACGGCTTTTCGCCTGTGGACACAAATAAAAAAACACAGACAATTAGTACAACACGCACGCGTTAATGGTTATGATAGCAACATAATAATATTACAAAACGCGCATCTCAAATCCGTACATTGAGTTAACATTATCGCTGTTGTTACATTACAAGGTAACCGAGACGAGATTACAAAAAAGCACAGCACGATTTTTTTTGACAACGTGCGGTAATAATAATAACGGTGTAATTTTTGCGGGGGAAAAGAAATAATACATAAACAACGTCCGACTATTGATTTTTAAATTACGGTGGTATAGTCCGTTCGACATAAGCTGTAACGGTCGAAAATGTCCAACAATTCACAATGTCGAGGAATCGCTTAGTCGTTCTGCGAGTACGACCAACTTCGACACCCCCAACCGCGAGACGGATGAGGGAATGTGAAAAAAATGTTTTGATTTTTTATTCCGGAATCGCGTTGGTCGCATAAAAAAAATACTAATTACTAGTCGATAGTAATTACTACGCGTTAATGGCAAAAGTATATGTATAAAAAAAAAAAAAGTTTAGACACGACTACAGTAAGGCAGACGGTCATTTTTCTTTTATCCGTTATGCCAATACAACTGTTTTCCGTTGTCTACAAAGTCTAACAAGCCCCATGATTATATTTAACAAAGTTGTTGAGCAAACTGAATTCAACTATTGCCCTTCGGAATTGGATTTATCAAGACGGTAATTATACACCGGTAATTAAATGGATGAATATTTGATAAGTAGATCTCAGCATTTTTCTTCTTTAAATAAAATAAAAACAATTATTATCAAGTTCAGAATATAGTTATAACATAAGTTGTAGAAACATGTCATAAAATATTGTTCAGATTTTTACCTCTTAACAATGAACGAACAAAGAAATAAATAAATAAATATAATACTCTGTTGTTTGGTAATATTTTGTCTGTCGGTTACATAATTATTTAATCCATTGTTTAGGCCGTATTGTAGTTAACATTTTTTTTTTTTTTTTTGATAATTACTGGAACGACTTTTTTCATAATTTATTCGATCAAAATTATGTCGACGATGAATAATTATACTTGTGAAATTATTCAAATAATATCCTACTCCGACACCGTAGCCCACCTGTATTGTACTTACTACTTAGTAATTACTAGCGATACACGGTATTCGTGTTGTTATAATAATATACCGTCACAACGGCTTCTTGGTCTCGCGATTTTCATTAGTATTTCTTCTGCGTCCGTTTTTAAAACAATATTTTTCAATTCGGGAAAGTTAATTTGTAACCTGAGCATACACCAAGCCAATGCACACGTTGCACGCGCGCAGGACAACCCGAGGTGGCGAATGTGTACACACGCAAATAATACAACATTCGAATTGTACACCAGCGACGGTGGTAAAATAAAGGTTTTTGTACAAACAGTGACTGAGTGGTTGGGGGGGGGGGCGACGGGTAGGTACGCTTATATCCAAATTGGCTGCCGTCCTACTCCGAAGGTATAGACGGGAAGACGGATAGACAGAGGTAATCCAAACGACGTCGGTGTTTTCTTACCAATACGACCCTCCCCCAAATACCGTCTCTCCTCTCCTTCGCCGAGACTACAACGACAATAATAATTTAGGCATCGCACACACACACACCATTGCCGTTACGATTGATCGATAATAACACACACGACATTGTCTGCAAAAGAAATAATCATCTAGATAAAAAAAAAAAAAAAAAAATACAAACTAACCCGCGAGTATACCTTTTCTTTTCTTTTTTTCCCCCTAGAGTAATATCCGCTCGGCTCGAAGACGCATTTTCGTCGCATCCCCCCATACGGATCCGTTTTTTTTTTTTTTTTTTACTCAGGTGAAATATTTATACCAAACGACCCTGTTTTTCGTGTTTTTATCCAACAGATAATCTTGACAGTAGTCCGCAAACACACACACACACAAGTATAGAGAACGACGCAGGTATTCTCCCTAAGTTTTGATGTTTTTCCGCACGAGATTTACAGGCGTTAAAATATCGCCGAGCCTACAACGACATGTGCCGCCGCGGTATCGTTTATTTTATTTCATTTATTTGCTCAAGAAATCGGCGAAGGACTTGGCATCGTCTTATAAGTAATAACAATAACGACGATCTCCTGTCGCGTTCGCGTGGGGCGGTTGAACGGGCATAATATATTTTTAACGGCCAGCGTTAAAATAATTATACTATTACTACGATTATGATTATGACTATTGCATGCCTATGTACGCGTTTGCCGGTATATGTACGTGTACACGGCCGAATTGCTTTAACACACTGGTGTAATACTCGACTGTTGGCGTTACATTAAAGCGGGGCAAAGTGTTTTTGTTTGTTCCACTCCCCTTACCAAGAAAACCGAGGACTCTCCTCTCCGCGACGCTCAGAAAACGACCGCCGCCTTAGTTGTATAGCAGCCCCGGTCGCGTCCCCACACTTCCCATTTGGCGCGGGGTCTTCCTGGCCGTTGCCTTTACTTATACTCGTTTAGGTGCGAGTGTCCCTGGTGAGAGGCGATAACGACAACACGGCCACGTCGACAATTTACCGGGAACGAGCGGGAGAGATTGAGGGGGGGAGAGGGGGGAGACGAAGTGGGAATATTCTAACATTAGAAGGACTCTCGCCGAGTGGTACCGGATAAACGAATGAATTGTAATTTAGTAGAGTACGTACCGATAATGACCATAAGGGGACCACCGATCGAAATGGCCAATAAAAGCCGGTCCGGCCGACTATTATTATTATTATAACGCAAAAGCTCCACTACATATTCTGCTCGACAGCCAGTGTACCCAAGCGGACCAGAGTCGTTGTAATTATTATAACAAGTGCTCGGTGGATGGTTATGGCCCATAGACGTTTATAACAATATTATTATAAATGTATAACAACGTTGCAGCCTCCAGTTTTCCTCGGTTTCTCGAGAAAGGTCACCTACTCAGCATTTCCACCCGAATGTCCTTTGCAACTATCTTTCAGCTGTATTATGTTTTGCTTCGACATTTCCTTAATTCTCCAAGTCAATTTGGCGAAATACATCAATTTACAATTGGTCTCAGTCGTACGGCCCCATCGATATGATTGCACAAAACTGGTCAAGTTGTAACAAAAACACAAGTGAATAGTAGAAGCGTCCTTATAATACTTATAATTAAATGTATATCAATAGTATGAATAGTATATTGATATTATGGTAGATTACAAATACTCAACCTGAAAAATAAATGTATGTATATTATGCTCGCGCACCTTTTTATAGAACTTGACTGAGACCGAGAGAAAATGCAAACAGTGAGCAAGGAAGTCTAAGATGGAATTGCAGCAATTGCTGTGCCAGATTTTTTTTTTTTTGTATCCTTCGGGAAACAGAAGATCCGGTAAGTATAGCCGTTTCACAATCGTCTGTTGCGCTATCAAAGCTGTGCAGCTCTACTGCAATACCTATTGTGGAATGACAAACATAATGGTTATTGTCGGATGGTAAACTAACGACTGCGGCCGTCTCTGGTTGATTTTGCAACAGTATAACGAACGAGTAACGTTTTACTTATTCTACTTACTGAACTGCGAGCATAAAACACAACATATTATTTTTAAAAAAAAAACTATAATATTATATATAATAAGTAGCGCTTTAAGTACAACACAAGAACGCAATATTATTCCGTCATCGCCGGTGCCAGGGTCTCAATCGATACTAACTCACAAGCGAGTGATCCAATAGATAGGCCAAAGAAAGCCGTTTGTTTTTTATAGTCGGAGAATTTTATTTTTTATCGAAATAGGTCGTTGGTATCAGTAACAACATAATATATTGATGTATTATTATTGCTGCGTTATAATGCAGTATACCGTGCATAGGACAAAACGACTTTCCCATTCCGGTCAACATAATAAGAGAAGCTCGTCAATCGGTCGTTGTAATGTGGCAATAATTATTGCGCAGTTGTTGTCGTCGATCCATCAATCAAACGCCGTTAAATTATTGACAATAATTATCAATCATTACAATAATAATTCCATAGAAAATAATACACCGACCACTAACGGGTTCCCGTAGAAATATATTATTAATACGACCATACAGTAGCTATGGTATACCGTTTTGTACATTATTATATCGCCTATATTATATAGATGTATATGTAAATGTAGCGATGCCGTCGATATCCTACTACTCGTGTCAAATAAATCAACGCGAAAATAATCGATTTTAAAATGATTTCATTGAAAAAAATATATATTTTTCAGAACGTCAAATAAAATATTATACTTCCAAGTATTTTCCACTAAACTTCGATAAATCCTCGTATGAAATATTCATAGTATTTAAATTGCTGTGTGGGAACTAGGCCGTATCTGTGCAGACGCTCCAAGCTCCGGCCATAATGATTACATGCACACGTGTAGAACTTAACCAGCATCAATCATTGCAGGGTAAATATTATCATAATAATAGTAATGTGATCTCGATCGATCGTTTAAAATCCGTCTCTCATCCGTTCTGCAGTACACGGGACCAGAGGCCGGTGACTAATATATTATACTATTATATTTATTAAATCCGAATACGTGCGGGTATCCGTGCAAACGCCAGCGTTAAAGAAAACTTTTCCCATTATAACTTTTTAGATTTAAACTGTCCGAATAATACTAGCCGACAGATGCTAACGTTGGAAGATTTTTTTTTTTTATTCGACGCAAACGCCAAAAGGATCTATTTACGGTGAATTTTTCGCCTCCTCCCCCAAATACGGGCTATCACCAATGAAAATAATAATTTGAAAAAAAAACTCCTCTAACTATACGAATATATTCTTTTTTTTTTTTAAAGACTTTTTAAGATTCGGCAAAATATATTTTTATTTTAAAACGGAAAAAAACTCCAGATGGAGTGTGTGTAAAATATGTGAAATGTATAAACCTACGAGTTTAAGAAATTGTATTGTAAAATATTTATTTCAGCGATAT